GCACGCGAACGCGTGCGCAACCAATCTGGTAACGTAAAATAATTCAAAAAGTAAAAAAGCTCTCACCTCCACACAGTCACGGACACATGCATAAGAATCGCCTTCCCACCTACGACAAAGGATAACCCATACCACGATTCGCCAAAAGTATACTTCGATCATAATTGCCGGGTGAGAGACTAAGAGCCCGGCTGTAGATCTCGATAGCCTAGAACATTAAATTCACCAAACCTCTACTATCTCAATACTGCACAAATCCGTGCTCAAATTTCTTTATTGCAGTTCGATAAAGTCATAAGTGGAGCGCATTTTCTGAATAAAAGACTAGCCATAATGCGCAATCATTTAACCAGCTAAGAGCATTTAAGTAGAAAACCTGGAATCCAAAAAAGTATGAATGCTAGGTAGACAAACCTCAGGAAACTTCTTGGAGTCAAAATATCCTTTAGCTTGTTCTCTAGCATGAGTGAAACTTGGAGTGTGCTTCCCATTGGTGAGTACTTAAATACTCGAATAAGAACTGAATATCAGGAAGAGCAAACTGCCTTCGGGCAAAAAATAACTAGTTATAAATATATCACAAGAAAAATAGTTAGATTCAAGAAAAAGAAAACATAGAACTCAGAAAATTTTGGGGAGTAGTTGTTCAAAAATTGTAAAGAACAAGAAGTGAGCAAAAATCCAGGATGTATCAGGCGTTACTCATTGTAGACCATGTCTGCTACCCCGTCCACCCACAAACTATTCATAGAAGTGGTAAAGCATGAAGCATTCGGCACTGATCAATCCCATTTAGGATGCATGGCCCATGCATTCTACTTCCACTAAGAATCGTAGTGGCATTTGAATCAGGGTCAACCGTCCGTTCGAACTGTTCGAACGAAGGGGTCGCATTTTGGTCGGAAGGGGGTCGCAATTTCGAGGACTGCCAGCCACAGGCGCGTGCGTGGCGTATCCGAGGGCAAGACTTGCTTGTGCAGACCGCATTAGATTCGATTTATTATGCACAGAGAGACAGTTTTAGGCAAATTACAGTGTTTTCTTGAGGAATAAAGAACAGTTGAATGCATCCCTATGAAAGGTTTGACTTCTCGGGGCTGAAAACAAAGTTCTTCGGGACCTAATTTTTTGAGGACGCTTCTTCCAGACAACTGTAATAAGAAAGCAGAAATCTCGTAGTCTTCAAAAATGTCTTCGCCCCTCCCCAACAAGTTCTTTGAAGGAAGTTATTATTGCTGAAAGCTCAAAAACTCGCATGTGCTGCTCAAAAACCTATGGGAACAAAATGTTCGAACGTGTGATTTTCTCGGAAAATGAACTTTGAAAAACGGTTTGGTGCTTGTTAGAAAGAGCAAATCCTGTACTTTCACCCCATGAAAAAAGTGCATCACAGAAATGAAAATGAAGTGAGTTATGCCCGCTTAAAGCCCAAAAACTCGCGATTTCAAAAAAAGTGTTCGGCAAAACCCCCCAAAATGTTCGAACGTGTGATTTTCTCGAAAAATGAACTTTGAAAAACGGTTTGGGGCTTGTTAGAAAGAGCAAATCCTGTACTTTCACCCCATGAAAAAAGTGCATCACAGAAATGAAAATGAAGTGAGTTATGGTCGCTGAAAGCCCAAAAACTCGCTTTTGCACGAAAAATGTTCGAACGGGACAATTTTTTGAAAAAGGGGACAATCACTAAACTTTTTATACTGTTTTGTTAGAGAAATATTTGAAGTTTCTGAAACTTTTTACAGATTTCCAAAATGTCGCATACGAAAGATTTTATGGGCCTTCAAAGTTGAAGGTGCGCCTTCTTAGAATTTTGGGTTTTCCACTTCTAACAGAAGTACTTTCCGGAGAGTTAGGCAATCCTTGTAGTTTTCTGAAAGCGCACCTCAGGCACAATCAAAATCTACCTCAACAAGTCAAAAAAGTACGTCCCAAGAAAGTTATTCCCAAAATTTTTTCTTCGCCGCGTCCCGTTCTTCCAGCGCCCGGGTGATACCTGCCGCGCTCCAAGGCTGACGCCGCAACGCAGACGCTTTCTGGCGCAACGGATTCATGTCTAGCACTCTTATTAACAAAAACAGGGGTCGCAACTGGACCCCTCGAGAGCTAGGGGGTCGCAAAAATCCCGAAAATGTTCGAACGTGATGGTTAACCCTGATTTGAAGTGCGACATGGCCTATACAACGACTGCGGGGCCTAGCCTGACGTGTTCAATCAGTGTTTTTATCCTCCCAGACAAATCTGGTACCAATTAAGCGACACGGTAAGGATGGAAGGCATGATTGTCCCATGCGGTGCACGACTTAGAATTTAATCCCGGACCATGGTAAACAGTGCCACTTGCCACTACACCATTCCACCCCCATAGGAACACTTCCTCACATAGAAAATGAGACCAACCTTCCTCGTCGCTTTCGATTATTGACTTGATTTTTTGTAAAACGGTAGGTCGATCATCACATTTTAGTTTGAATAGATAAATTGGACCGCAACCCTGATTTACCTGAAAAAATGGAAAATGCACTTGCGTCTCACGAGATTTCTAGAACAGAAGGATTAAATCTGGGAAACTTGCAAGGAGCTCTGTTCCCATTTCGTCAAACGCAACATGGGTTGTGTATGTAAAATTGCTGTGGCATTTGTCGTCAGCTTAAACAAGAGTAATTTCAGTTATTTAGAACTCTGGAATGCGATTACGTCTGACAAACCGTTTACACACGTCAGCAGCGGCTTATCCGGCTTTCTTCTATCGTAGATAGGAACAGCGGCTTCATCCGTAGCAACAGCCACCTGTATCAATACAATGTTCAAACGAGAAGATGTGGAAGAGGGGTTGACAGATAGCATACAAGTTCAGTACGTCCTTGACAGACTGCAAACGACTTCACATGTTTTTCTTCAGCACTGATCAATTTCTTCTCTGCGTTGGTTCTCGCGTCATATTCCCTAAAGCAAATAAAAATTGAAGAATATGAATGGCAAAGTATAAAACGAACCTGACGTAGCTGTCCTCAGAAGCAGACCAAAACAAGTAAGGCTCATCTTGTGCGGTTGCCAAACGCTTCACTCTTCCACCTGTAGTCCACGTGATTGGCTCGTCTACAAGAGTTGATTCTAGGCCGAAAACGAAGAAGAAAAGAAAAATTATCACGCTCAGCCGATTTTACCTCTTAATCCGTCAATATCGTGCATTTTCACTTGGCAATCGCCAGCGGCAGAGATCAGAATCCGATCATTTCCTTAAGAAAGCACATTATGTGAAGATTCTCTCTTCAGTTACTTTGTGCAAATATGAAATTGCGCTCAGAATGGCCACTAGTTTTCTTAGGAGCAAAGACAACCAGCTCGTAAGACACATTTCTAAGCAATATTTGCACCTTTGCAGGTATTCGAGTAAAAATGGGAGATGGCCTTCCTGCAAGGCCCTGGACAAAACTTTAACAGATAGCAACGTAAATTCGAAAGTTGTCGATGTGATTACAACAAAGTAAAAGGTATCAGTAAAACGTATTTTTTTTAATTTACGCACTGTAAAGGATGTGAAGAACATTTTTACGAACTTATTTCTTGAAGAACACCATTTTCTTCTTTTCTGATTCATCAAAGGCATCAAAATAGAAACCATGTCACTTGGCATTCTTACAAGGAAAGGATCCCACGTCGTCGTGACCATTCAAGACGGGATTTGATTTTTGTATACATCTTGGAACGCTGATTTCAAATCTGATATTCAAATCTGCTGAACGACTCGCATAACGAACTTATGGAGGCCCTCTCCCCCGCGATAATGGTAACATAAGACAATCGAGGGGGTTAGGGGATGTGTAGCAGTGGCACAGCCGACGGCGAGCCGGACTTGTAGGCAGGTGATCGTGGGGTCAATATGCGCAGCGTTTGCTTTTATTTTTTGGCAAGGTTTACTAAAAACACTTTTAATTTCCCTAGTTCATCGATGGTTGCTCATACGTGCCTGTATAATGTGCTTGAGAACGACTGCTGCACGTTTGGGCACCACCTGCCCAAGACTGCTCATAGCGTCCATATCGCACGCGCCAGGGATTTTTACTTTGAATGAGTGCGATATTCATGTTCAGGAAGTCAAAATACCTCAGGAAGTTGACTTTCTGCCGAATCTGACTTCTGACTTCGCTCTGAAAGAAAGAGTAGGTTTCTCCTTCCCAAACAGCACCCGTAGCGATGGCCTATCACGGACTAATCAAACATGTAACAGAGGCGGAGCGCTGCAGTCAAACGACCGAAAATGCAAGTAAAGTTTGTGTTTTTGGTGAAACGCAGATGCATGGTTCCGCTCATGTCTGATGTAAGTCCAGGTAAGTGGAGGACATATGAAAATCGTTTTCGTGTACGCTCGGCGGTGTATTCCGTCACAATTGCTCTCGATTCAACTTGAAAACTACTCTAGAATGTAACATGAAGTGTCTATAATTGATCGCATCTCAAGACCAAGCTTCGGTGACCGGTAAAGATGATGCCCAAGGTTTCGAAGTTAGGTCACAATTTCAGATTTGGCCGAAAATCTGCTTGCCGAGTTCGATTCACTCCCTGATCACGAACATCACACTCGTTTTGTGCAAAATCATGTGGCACGCATGATATGGACGACATGAGCTGCCATGGGAGATCACTCGCTTCAGTAATTGTTCATAAGTTCTTCGTGGGGGTGACTTGCAGCAAGCAGTGATGAAGAAACGCTGTTTGAAGTCACTCTAGCGATATTGCCGACAAAAGCAAAAGACAAACACTGTAGGGGATCGATCCCGTGACGTCTCGCCTATGAGCCGCTACCATTGAAGCTGAGCTGTTCTGCTTCTTAAACTCGATTCAGGAAATCGTTTAGTTTCTTTTTTTCTTTTTTTGAGTTCAGTTTTAGATCAGCGTTCGAAGGAACATCCGGCAGTACATATCCCTTCTTGAGTGACCATGGCGATAAGGGACCCTTTCCTTGTTAGTGGACCCAACACACACTTTCTAGAACATGCAGAAAGCAGTTTTACAGAAGTTCTCCTCGAGTACTTCACTGTAATTAACGCTCTATCGCTTCCGCTAATATTTGCATAGTAACGACAACTCCTTCACCTACACTCCTTCTCGTCACGTGAGATCACACATTTAAGACCGAATTAAAAAATTTGTGTTGTCTTAAAGCAAAACATGCAAATTAATTAAATATCCCTGCAGGTAAAATTCATACGCAACACATTAGCTGATAGTACTCTGTCCCACAGTACCGTAGAGATGCAGTCTCTCTCGAGCCAGATCCAAACCATTCACCTCTCGATCATCAGAGCCAACGCCAGAAGACGAATACAATCACATATACAGCGTAAATCTGTATAACGTACTCGGCGAAGACATTGATGCCAATTCTAAGGCAGTCCATCTGTCAATCAATAATAATAAGAAGCTTTGTTCAAAACCACAAACTACAGTTTCACACGCTAAACCTACGTGCCGCCGCGATTCCATCGTAATGTGTTCACGCATGTTTCGTGCGCCTGGAATGACCGGCTTGTTTCAAAGGAATGACAGAAAATGCAAAATTAAAAAAAGACAAACAACCATTGTTGTCTTCTATTAGGTGTCCCATAATTAGTGAATCACTTTGGGTATTTTTGAGTTCAATTTTTTTCTTTTTGATTCGAAGTCCTTGCTCATCCCAACATACACCTCTGTCATCTATAATGTATTGCCTATTCATAGGAATTTATTCGCTGTCACTTTCCTCTGAAACTGGGATCTTGAACGAAGAAGGACTGGAAGTCGGGTTTGAGGTCGTATCACTTAGCGTAAAATTTTTTTGAAGAGGAGTGCTAGAGCTCAGACAAGGTTGTCCTTAGCTGGTACGAGGATAGTGCTACACAACGAAGCTGAAAGAACTGTTAGCCTGAGAGTCGCCAACTTTTTATAAATAATCTACCCAAGGTGGGTCGAACGACCTCAGAAAAAAAGCCGACTTTGTCTTGCTTTGCTTTCAAATTGAACACGTTGCCACTGTGCTGTCCACGTTTGCCTTCTTCACTAATTCTAGTATTACTGGGCGGTTCTCAGCGCAAGGTTCCTTTCGTGTTTCACCAACATTTCAGAAGTGTCGAACATAGAGGAAGTTGGGCTTTTGCTGTCAGAACTCCCGAATCGCTTGAGCTAGGCTACTGCTCCTGGTGGATTTGCTAGCACACTCCACCCAGTCCACAACACTGGTGAATATGCAGGATGATCACTGAAAGGAACTCTGGGAAATCAGAAGGAACATGATGATGTCAGATCGTGTTCGAGCTGATTCGGGCACAGAGCATGTGAGATACAAATTCCATATTTTAAATCTTTACGACTCTACAGAAATGTCTACATTCCATCATTTAACAAGTCGGATATGCTCTGACAAATAGCGACTACTTTGTCCAGATCCAATCTCAGTGGCGCTGGGTAGAGCAGCAAGATTGCCAGTAGAGGGGTAGTTAGAGTATCGGTCATCTTCAAATGGAAAAGCCAAATCCGGAACAGAGTGAACCGTGGATTGAAGGAGTGTGTCCTCGCCTATTTGCTGGTTGATCCACTACGTTGGTTGGCGTTTGAAAGATCCTAATCAGAAGTGATGAGAAGGAAGCTCAAAAATAGGTTCCAGAAAAATTGAATGTATAGCCACGGAAGGCAGCGTGTAAATGGGCTGAGTAAATGCTCAGGTAGGATAATGTGGGTGCTACTTCGCAAAACATGTTTCACGCCTTTACCATTTTTCTTGGATTTTTTATAGCAATAAATGTAAAGTGATTCACTAATTATGGGACAACCTAATATTGATATACACTGCGACGCATAATTATAGTTCCACCTACAAATTTCCCAAAAACTTGAATCTGGGGATGTTTTTGAAAAAGGCTCTACAGACAAATTGTGACACATATAAACGCGAATCTGAATATTAACACGGAAATCCAGTTTGAGAAAGCAACAATTTTTTATCCTCATTTTTTCGAAAATACCCGCTTTGCCTATGACGCAAAATCATAGTTCCACCTCATGTTTCTCCGCTGCATTTTGCTTTTACCCAATCAAATTTTGAAATTATTACCCATTCAAGTTCCTTAGCTTATAGCAAAGGCAAAACCGCTGTCAGACTTCCGTAAAAGGAAAATCCTAGCAAAAGAGACGCAGGAATTGTTGAAGTGTCAGCTCACGCTGGAATTTGTCGGGGTGACTTCATAACGAACAAATTTCTCAAGGATGCTACAGGATATTTGACATCTGATATTTATTATTGGAAAACAAACTCTAGAAACAAAACGTCACAAATGAGTACGAACATATCTCCAATAAGTAAATGCAAGATAACCAAATGGGGTACAAGAATGGGAACTGTTTGCACAGGGAGCGGAAGTCAGCGCAGAAGGGCAGTGGCCGCCAACACTGCAAGCTCATGCAACAAGAGGAAGAGCTCCGGATACCAACTTAGTAGGTCCGCCAACCTGCCGAAATCCAACTCCATGGCAGAAGTACTAGCGAGGGGAGGGGAAAAGAAAAAAATAATCAAGCTCAAAGTAAGCAACGAAATCAAACTAAAGTATATAAACATAACAGTGGCATAAATTCAATCAAGGCATTGAACCTAGAATATGGATAAATGAATCGCTTTTCTGCCTCATCAAATTGAAAGTGTTTAGTTTCATGTTCTCAGAACCAACCTTGAGAAATCATGATCCTTCTCATATGATACTGGTAGGAACCTTAATTACTATCCGATTGAGATAAGCGCCGTATCGTGAGAAAATAATACAACTTTATCCAGCCGGGTACGGAAATCAAAACTTCTTCAAAAGTTAGTGTCTCAATGGAAGCAGTTTCACGTGTTTTACAACACGCTCGTGACAGTCCATGTCTGGAAAATAAGAAATACGCTTTTTTGTGAGAAGTCATAGAGAAAAACGAGCCATTTTTCTTGAAAGTTTCGCCAAGTCGAGTGAAGCGGTGGCATTTTCATTTGTTTTTGATTTGCGTCTTTCTTTCTCTTAACGTTTTTCTTTCTCAGATCGGTTTTCTACTTCGTAGCAACATGTATGGAGAAGAAAAAGATCAGGAGTATGGTCAGAGGTTCCAAAATATCACAGATAAAAAAGTGTCCTCACTTTGCTCTACTTCGCAAAACTCAGGAAAATGGCTCGTTTTTCTCTCTGATT